AGCAGAAATACAATGTTTAAGTGACAGAATGCATTTTTATTTTATTATTTTGCAAGTTCCCATACTGATGCATTAACAACTTGTAATGATTCTACAGAAATTATATTTTTAAAAACAGCACATTTAAGCTATGGTTCATTTACAGATGAAATTGTGTTTTCTGAAAGTGTGGACATTATGCACACAGTCAATTTGTGAAATGATTTGTGTTCATGAATTTTAAGCTCTATTTAGCATTAAATGAATATTGTTTCAACTCTCATGTGGCAGTCGGCATGTTAAATTATATCCTATACAGCAATGTAATTTTTGCTAAACCTTTTGAATTTGTTTTGTAAAATTGCCTAATAGTGGTATGCAATAAATAGTGTTTCAACGATTCTTTTCCAAGTACTAAGTTTAATTAACATCTACTTAACCTTTAAGAGTATCCACGCATAATCTGAGTTCTTCATTGAGAATATATTTCAAGTTAAGAGATTTCAAAAGCTATTTACTGACCTTTGATTTGGTAAGATTATTTAGGATTTTTTTCACAGGCAAAACCCAATAAAATAATAATACCTAATGATAACATTGTTCAAATATGAAACAGTTTGTGGAAACCATTTCTACAATATTTTCAGAAGAACAACTATTGTATATGTCAGTCTTCATTTATGTGTATCTCTGTTTTACTGTTTATCACTGTTTATTTTCATACATAGCATGAGTTGTATTGGGTTTACACATAGCATACACACAGCATAGTTACATTTTTTGCTGCCTAACAATTTCTCATAATTTAAATACAAATCCACAGTGTATTAATTATGTTGCAGCTTTCTCTGGTAATTTATAATTGGCTGTTCTGTCTTACTTTGTACCTCTTGGGATTACTCCTAATTAGTATTTCATGGTGGCTTAGTAAATAGAAAAACATGTACTTCTCATACACATTAGATGTCTCTGTGAATTACTTGGAGTTTTATGATGTACATGCTCCACATCACTGGGGCTTCACACACATTGCACATTAGACTTGTTCAGGGCAGAAAAATGTGGTTCTTCCATACCACTTAAGCAGAAAAAAAATGTAAGAAAGCAAATGGTAGACTTAGGTCATGTAAATTTTCAGCTCAGCCAAATTTCTGTAACAAAATGAAGGGAAGGCAAATGGGACAACCCGTATGACGGTGCTAAAATGCAAAACAGCTACAATGTTGTCTGGCCTTTGGAACAGCAGAGTGCAATCCATAGTCTTCCTACAACTCCATTGCCATTAACTGCCCAGTGGGGTGAGAAGATTGGACAATATTAGGGTAACTAGCATCAGTTCCTATTCAAGTGACTTATACTTTGTGCAACATTAATGCCATATGGGGACAGGTTATCCACATTAAGCTTACATTGTTTTGATGCATATAGTATTCCTTTGAGAGTGCAAAAAAATACAGTGCCATATTAGCATCCTCCACCTGTATCTGCAGTGGTAGCATCACTGTTACACAATATCAGGTATTTTGCAATGTCAATTCTCAGTTGTGGGAGTCTTCATTTATGTGTATCTCTGTTTTACTGTTTATCACTGTTTATTTTCATACATAGCATGAGTTGTATTGGGTTTACACATAGCATACACACAGCATAGTTACATTTTTTGCTGCCTAACAATTTCTCATAATTTAAATACAAATCCACAGTGTATTAATTATGTTGCAGCTTTCTCTGGTAATTTATAATTGGCTGTTCTGTCTTACTTTGTACCTCTTGGGATTACTCCTAATTAGTATTTCATGGTGGCTTAGTAAATAGAAAAACATGTACTTCTCATACACATTAGATGTCTCTGTGAATTACTTGGAGTTTTATGATGTACATGCTCCACATCACTGGGGCTTCACACACATTGCACATTAGACTTGTTCAGGGCAGAAAAATGTGGTTCTTCCATACCACTTAAGCAGAAAAAAAATGTAAGAAAGCAAATGGTAGACTTAGGTCATGTAAATTTTCAGCTCAGCCAAATTTCTGTAACAAAATGAAGGGAAGGCAAATGGGACAACCCGTATGACGGTGCTAAAATGCAAAACAGCTACAATGTTGTCTGGCCTTTGGAACAGCAGAGTGCAATCCATAGTCTTCCTACAACTCCATTGCCATTAACTGCCCAGTGGGGTGAGAAGATTGGACAATATTAGGGTAACTAGCATCAGTTCCTATTCAAGTGACTTATACTTTGTGCAACATTAATGCCATATGGGGACAGGTTATCCACATTAAGCTTACATTGTTTTGATGCATATAGTATTCCTTTGAGAGTGCAAAAAAATACAGTGCCATATTAGCATCCTCCACCTGTATCTGCAGTGGTAGCATCACTGTTACACAATATCAGGTATTTTGCAATGTCAATTCTCAGTTGTGAAAATTGGATTCATATTTTTTCTGAAATGAAAAAAAGGAAAGAAATGCATGCTGACCAGTTGGAGCGCTAAATAAATCTTCTCAACTGATTTATTAAGATTGTGCTAGAATGATATCCAACAAAATATATTTAAGAGTGGACTTATGTACACTTCTCTGGACTGATGAGGAGTCTAACTGTCCATGTCCAACATGTCTCTGTTGACAACTGGCACTATCATTGGTGTGTGTGTAAATGGGTTGTTACTTGCTGGATTTAATAGTTCTGCAACAATTTTGCCAAAGTTAACCAGAAAAAATGGTTTGCAAACTGATTCTTCATCTTCAATGATGCTGTGCCCTGCTTGCAAAACTATTTCTGTCACACTCAATATAGGCATATATATTACTTGCAATTTCCAAAGCAGAAGCACACTGCAAATCAAATCTATATCTTAAAAGAAATAAAAATGTAAAAAATGAAATCACACATCAATAAAACAATTATAAATTTGTGAATTTAAAGTGGGTGAAAGTGGCACTGGCAGTAACAACTAGGTCAAATTATTATTTTTTCTATTCAATTCACTGGCAAATGCAGGTGGATTTGTAGTCTGTATACTAGTACTTGGTTGATTAATGCTAATTTAAATTGATAATGATGATGGTAATGGTGATTTAAGTTATATTTGTGGAGATGGTTGTATTGGTGGTGGTGATGGTAACACTGAGAGTGGGTGAGCTATTGTTTCCATGGTAGCAGGTGCAGCTGATGCCACAACTGTCTCCATGAATTAGAAGATTCTAAAGCAGACAGAGATAGACTTTGACAATGTGGAGAAGATGCAGAAAGCAGTGACAAGTGCCCATTAGCTGTTGGAGAAATCACTGGGTTGCTGCCTGTCTTCTCCATACTCTCCTCTTATAATTCCTCTAGCTTATCATGCTCGAGTAGCCCCTGGACTAGAAGTAAAAGTACTAAAACTGCAATGGTGCAAGAAACAATTCTCATTCATGAAAACCACCATCAACTACATACATTGGGGACATGACTTTGGTACTCTGCACTAAGTCTTCTCTAAAGAGTGTCTCTCATAACCCCCACAAAGTAGACTACTGCGCTACATTTTCCATGAATTGCTTTTTGGAAAGGGCACCAAGAAGGTATAACTCTTGAACTAGCTCTGGTTGAAAGATCTGCAGTGCCAGTGAAAGCATTACCACAACTTGTTGCAGCATGAAGATGATCAGAACATTTTCTGCCCCCTTGGTGTTAAATTGGATGTAGAAGACATGCTGCTAATCCCACTGTCCATATGAATACTACTATTAATAGTGGTGGTGATAGTAGTGGTAATGGAGGTCTAGGCGACAGAAGTATCAGCAGTCTGAGGTTCAAACTCTCAGAAGCCATGGCACATCTGCTGATGGTGGATTGGGTAAAGAACACCTACCTCTACCCTCTAGCAATTTGTTCTTGGGATTGGTGTGTGACATTGATGATGGTAGGTTTGTTTGATTTATTACAATACACTAGTGATATGAATGATTGTGTATTGTGTAAAGTAATACAACTTTATTCAGCAAAAATACCTTTTTGTTTTGCAAAATGGGTTTGTGCTTGGTGGATTTGTTGCTGAAACACTACACACTAGCACAATTGCACACTTACACAACACACACACTGGACTGAACATACTTAAAAAGATACAAATAAGAGTAAAAATATATATATTTTCTTTCTCCAACCACTTAACCAAAAGGAAATAAACTGCCCACCTATAAATTGGTGATTCCAAGTTAGTGTTAAGTGGCTTGCAGTGTGATCGTGCATTAACAATAAACAACAGTGTCACAGTGGGATGAATCTCTATTACTCAAAGTTTGTGTGCATGCCAATGTGGGAGTATATAAACAAGAGGAACTTTTTCATATTTTGTTACTCAACACAGTCTCCCATGAATGAAAAACAAAAACAAATTACTTGTGCATGATCCCAAATCCCTACATATATTAAAAAAAACAGGAGGTTTTCAGTATCACTCCAATATCCATTGGAGTATAAGTACAACTGCCCCATCAAAAAAGAATCCAAAACTTAGAGCTAAAAGGCAATATCTCTGACACAGAAAGATGTATTCTTATGAATCCATAAACACTTATTAACCCTTAATAGGGTACACATTGGATGAGCAACAGCATGGTAACATGGCTGTGTAAAACAGAAGGAAATACAAAAACACAAAATTAGGGGCGGGGCCTGTCATGGATGCCAGACATGTTTCGGACTAGGTCCTTCACTAGCCCCACAATTAAAACTCCCAACTGCACACTAATGCCTGATCCGGGCCAGAACGAGAGAAACCTTTCTGCTAAGCGTGGAGGAGGTTGTAGTTGCTCCGAGGGTTTGTCAGCCCCACCACGGAACATGCGGCCAAGTGAGCGCCGAGCTGGAGATGCAGCCGATCTCCTATACCGGTTCTGGGGGCCATGAAAACTGGTAAGGTGCCCTCTTACCACCCAGACCGGCGGGGTGATGCCGGTCCACTCCTGGGAGGTTGCCCACCTTGGAAAGGGAAGCGAGCAGGCACCCTACCTATAAGTGTCGGATGCAGATGGCGGAAGCAGCGTGCTCCTCAGTATCCAGTAATGGTCCCAGCAAGATACTCACCCGACTGGACAAGCACTTCCTCCACTTCTGGGAGCAACTGGAAATCAAGCTGCATCAGCCTACTCCACCCCAGCCAAGCACCTCCGCACATCGGGGTCTCCCTCAGAAGGCTCCCGCATGGCCGCGGAAAAACGCACGGTATGGCATGACGACTTACCCCAAACCGACACACTGCTGGACCCTGCGAGATGACAGAGGAGCTATCCACAGTTTGGAGGGTAGATGGCACAACCCATCTGGCTCCAACATGGCGGAGATATCATCGGAGAGGTGGAGGGGCAGCGAGTGTACCCATCTCTTCTTCACACCTCCACTAAGGACGGTCAGGTCTGCAGTATTCCTCCTGGAAGCAGAACTGTGATCTGCCCATGGAGGGCATAGGATGAACAGAGTATTATTTTTATATGTCTTCAATCCTTCTATCAGTAGTTTATAAGATCTTAGATGTTTGACAAACCTCGTGCCACTCACGGCCTCTTTTTAGTTTTGTCTTTCCGTTGTGAGGGCCTCCCGGGGGAAATACCTTAATCTCAGCAAATCTTCCCCAATAGTTAATTCTTATGTTTTATTTTTCTTATCATCAGTCTTGTGACGAAGTGCCCTTTGCCACTTGGTCCTGGAGAGGCCTGTTTGCCAGCCTCTTGCCTTGGGACTATGGCCCCTGGGAGATTGTGCCCTTTAAAAACAGTATTGGGCATCTTGGATTTTAACACACTTTTTCTGCCCCTTTAATTCCATGAGAAAATGTGCCTCTGCCCCTCCCCCTTTTTCCTATTGTTCTCCAGCAGGGTGTTGTTCCAGGGACACTGCCAGACCAGTTTAAATTGGCTGCTTTGTTCCTCCTCTATCTCTCATCAGTCCTTGCTAAACTTTAACCCCATGGCGATTTTGTTCTGTTCGTGGCATTGGAGCACTCTTCAGATATATTGAGTGCTCAGATCCAAGCTATCTGGGGATAGGTTGAATGTGGGGGTTCCGTTCAGTAAAATAGGAATGATGGATTTTTAGGTACTGTTGTAAATGGAGATATGCCCTGTACTGGAGACAATTAAGTTACCACACCTAACTTTTAAACCACTGGAGGGATTTGTCTGATATTTGGATATGTTTATATTTGAAGTGTGCTGATTAATAATATGTTATGGAGATTGGATGTATATTTTAGAAGTTATAAGAATTGTGTAAAAACTGTATTTTCCTGCAGAGGGGAGGATTTTGTGGGAATGAATGGGAGTGTTTTACTGTATATTACGTGTTTACAAAACCCTGTGGGTGGGACCATGTGTGTAAAACCTACATAAAAGAAAGCCTTTTGGTGCTGATTAAGAGAGATCTTCTTGACCCTCCACACGTAGTCTTGTCTCGTGATTGGAGGGGAACTGCTATATTCACACTGGGAATTGCTATGCTCTGCATACTCCCTGAGCTTTAATCACTTAGCTCTTTTAAGAGCTTGTTCTTGGTACGCTCTCCTGGAGGAGAGGTCTTTCCCACACGGTCCTGGAGGACAGAAGCTGATCCAGGGTGGAAGGAAGATGGCGAGACTCCAGTTAAGCTATGGCGGTTGTTGAGTCTGCGGTGGTTGTTGTGTCTGGTGCGGTGCTTGAGGTCCTCGGCGCAAGCTAGGAAGTGTCCATCAACGGAATGTATTCGGTCGGAGTATGGGGAGTTCAAGTCTTGATAGGTAAACCTTTTGTAAGAACTTGTTATAATGACAATCAAGACCTGCATCTATAGCCTGATATATGCACTAATATAAAAAACTAGTATTCTGCGTGTACAGCTTCTATACATAAAAAAAAAAAAATAGGTTGTTTAGATCAGGAGTTATTTACACTATGTACATCATACCCTGTCATGTGAACATATGTATTAACTCAGATTTCTTTCTTCTGTACTGCAATAACTGTGTCAATAAAAAATTCGATTGACAAAAAGAAAAGTATTAACTTTAAAACATTCAAATAATTATTCACTAATACTTAAAAACAATACCGAAAAAAAAGTACAGAGTACAGAGACATAGCAAATGGGGACAAAACAGATCTTGTAGAAAAATAAAAAGCTGTAAACATGACCTAAATATTGAGATATCTGTAGTAGTCACTGTTTTTTCACATCATCTGGAGTCCTTTTTTGTACTCAAATAAAATCTCACTTTCTCCCCCCCAAAAAAACACAAAATTAAACCCTACACTTTAACTCCCTGTACTCCTGGGTAGAAGCAATGACCATATTATCTCTCCAAACACATAGTAACAAAAAACAACTAAATAGTTATCTGCCCACTATCCTAAATCCCTCTGCATACTTAAATATTGTGAAGTTTTTTAAATCACTCCAATGGCATTAAAACTCAGTTGCCCAGATTTAAAAAAAAAAGGAAATTGGTGTTAAGTGGAAATGGGCAACAGTGCACTAGACGTAAAAAACAAAACAGTGTTATACTAGGATGAATAAAATAAACTATCTCTACCACTCAAAGATTGTGTGAGTGTTAATGTAGGAGGAGCTAGACAATATGATTTGTTTTATTCTATTTTACTGAGCAACACGCTGCCCACAAAAATAGTTTTTTTAATGAAACTTTAAAACAAAACAGCACATTTTTAACAACTGTATATTGGTGATTCTAAGTTGGTGTTAAGTGGCAAAGGCTGTGAATGTGCCACTGCACTAATCATAAACAACAGTGTCATACTAGAATGAATAAAACAGAATATCTACCACTCAAAGTTTGTGTGAGTATGTCAGGAATGGAGATAACCTGACACGCAAACCTAAATAAAACAGTAAAGGAAAACGTACCAATCCTTAGAGTGTTAGTGCTTGTGCCTAAGACAGATAGATGAAATGCCTACAAACACTAGTAAACACTAGACAGGCCAAGATTTAGACAGGTATACACAGATTGATAGGCAAGGTCAGATTAACAGAGAGAAGATTGGTCAAATAAGGAGATATGGCTTCTGATGGTGTGGTAGCTCTGCACTCACTCAGCCCAAAACCACAATTTTCAAGAGCGATAATAGCAATGGTAACAGTGCCTGTTCAGCAAAAAGCCAAAATGTTTTCAAAGCGAGCAAAGAAGAAGTAGAGTCAGGAGGGCATCTCCCTATAATCTCCATCACACCTTTCTGATACTTATTCAGACAGAGAAGTAGCCCCTTCACAAAGAGAAGAGTTATAGCATGAGGAGGAGGAGGCGGCCGTGGACTACAGGGAGGCAGACAGAAAGGAACACTGGTATGATGCCCTGGAAGATGACCAGCGGCGGCAAAGTGAGAGTCTCCCCAGTTATGAGCAGCGGCGATGTGGATGTGTCTATTGGGAGAGCAGCCCCTGGATGAGTGGGTGACAGAGCTCCAGAGCCTAGTATGTAAGGAGCTTTGGCTAGATGATGCTTACCAGGCCCTACGGTGGCATGTCATTCAACATACCCCCTGGACAGCTGAGCACGACTTACCCAAAGGGAAGGATTACGATGGCCCTGGGTTACTATGGGATGCCTTAGAGGTGGACATTTATCTCGGAAGCATGGAGGAGTCTAGGTTTTGGGACATCTACGACTACCGGATGGGCATGCATGTTTATGCTGACAGATGGGAGGTGAGCAAAGACATGACCCATCTGGTAACAAGGGAGTGGGAGCTGGAGCAGGACTACCAACATCTGCTCAGCTCTGTTCAGCCCCAACCTACCCAACAAGCAGAGCCAGACCTGCCATCCTACAACTGGGAAGACTGGGCAGCGATACCCCCTGCTTCCCTACCAACTCACAAAGTAGGGAACTTCATTGGCTGTTTCTGGGAAGATCTCCTGATGACAGGTAGAGATGGGACTGAAGTCTCTCCACCAGCACTACAGGGATGGTGGGCAGCCGGCCCAGATCCCCAGCTACAGCCAGCATTACCCGGAGTCGAGGCAGTCGGTTTGACTCCCCAGCGGCAGCTTACCTTACAGGGAGAGGAGACAACCGGTCTCTCTCCCCAGCGGCGGCCTGTGTCACAGAGAGAGGAGACTGTTGGTCCCTCATCTCAGCAACAGCAAGCATCACTGGGAGTGGAGACGGTCGCTACCACTACCCAGCACCAAGCAGAATTACAAGGAGAGGAGACAATCAGACTCTCTCCAGCAGCAGTGCATCTCACAGGGAGAGGAGACAATCGGTCTCTCTCTCCAGCAGCAGGGTTTTTTTTCCAGGGAGGGGGGACAGTCGGTCCTATCCACTAGCAGCAGCTTACCTACCAGGGAGAGGAGACAACCGGTCTCCCTCCCCAGCGGCAGTGCATTTCACATGAAAAGGAGACAACCGGTCTCTCTTCACAGTGGCAGGGGTGTTACAGGGAGGGGGGACCATCAGTCATACTCCCCAGCAGCAGCATTCCTTCCAGGGAGAGGAGACAACCGGTCTCCCTCCCCAGCAGCAGCCAGCATCACAGCATCTCCCCAGCGGCAGTGTGTCCTACAGGGAGTGGAGACTACTGGTTCCATTCCCCAGCGGCCATGTACGTTACAGAGAAAGGTGACAACCGGTCCCTCTCTCCAGCAGCAGCTGCTCAACCGAGTAATGGGGGTAGTGGAGGAGACGTTAATACCCACTGACCCCTTTCCAGCAGAAGAGCTGGCATCCAGGCAGAGCGCTGCTAGCCTCTGCCCTACCCTTTTCCTTGGTCCAGAGCCTGACTGCTTACAGGTTGTCCCAGCAGAAGTGCTGGCAACAGGGCAGAGCGCAGTTGGCCTCTGCCCACCACGTACCTACAGCTCCATGCCTGGAAACACAAGAGAGATCAGGCGCAGCAGATGTACCTTCTGCATCCTAGGACAGACTGAACAAAGCTGGACACCCAAGAACTACAGGTGCAGTACTTGGTTGTGGGTGGGCTGCTCGACTAACTCAGGTACTGTCCGACAGGAGGTCATGTACCTGGTTAGTCTCCCCCTGGGAAGGAAGATGTGTGATGAAAGCACCTTCATCACTGGGAGTTGGAGAGGCCTGCTTGCCAGCCTCTTGCCCTGTGACTATGGCCCCTGGGATGTATTGCCCTTTGAAAGCCCTATTTGGGCATATTGGATTTTAATATAGTGTTGCTGCCCCTTTAAAATATATGGAAACAGCTTTGCACTTTTGAAGTGGCATTTCGGATACAGCCGGAGTACCAAAGTAGTCGAACGGGCCACCATTCAACATACGAACACGTGGCGGCTGCCATTTTAATCCAGTCGAACACGTTCAGCGGTGTTTGGTTGTCGAGTTCATGGAACTCAAATCGGACACGCGATGGCACAAACAGACTTCAACACTTCGACTGTAGTCGAACGCTGTTCGACAATTCGAACGGCATTTTAACATTGACATTT